CTTTGAAAATATAGGTGGCTATTTGCATTTGTGGTTTTACTTTTATACCGTGCCTGTGCACGTGCTGCCTCCTAGTGCTTTTCTGTCTTGGAGGGGATGACACTCACTTTGTGATCGAGCTCCTGTCTCCGGCCTGGATTAAATTGAGCTCTGCAGCTAGCCTTTTGTTTTCATGGGAAGAACATCACACTTCCATGATAGTCATTAGTAATTTTTGTTAAGGCAAGCTAATGTTTCCCCTACCCCCAGATTAGTCACAGAGGACACAGCCTTTGTACATTAAAGTTTTCTGATTTATTCTCATTTCATATTTATCTCTGAGCTGAAATATGTTTGTGAATAAAGTGTTAGTATATTCTGAATAAACCGATTATATTCTAAAATCAATCTTGGGCCTTATTAAGAAGAAATTTTATTTTAGAACTTTTGGAATACTGAATAAGTGACTAAGTGATACAAACTATAATAAAATCTCTTCAAACTAGCTAGGTCTGAATTCAGAATTTTAAGAAGGAGTGTAGATTATGCATACAGTCACTGAAACAGATAAGAATTTATTGCTTAGAAGGACTAATGTATTTTAAAGAATAAGAACTATGGGTAATTAACATATTAATGGCATGTTTACTGGAATCTGGATTTTTCTTCAGTAGTGAGGGAAATGAGATACACAAATACACCATGTGGGTCATGTGTATAGTGCCATAGTGAGGCAAATGTAGAAGGAGATTACTTCTGATTTAAGAGGTTGGAGTAGAGTTCACAAAGCAAAGAGTAAGGAAATAGTATGCACTGTGGGTTAGAAGGAACAAAGCAAGTACATTCAGAGTTTTGGAGGGAGAGGAGGTATCTAATTGTCAACTGTGTCCCTGGTGCATGCTGTCTCAGGGCACTAGGTGGGCAACTGGCAACAAGCTACACGGATAATGAATGCTGGGAGGGGAAGTGGCTTTCAAGCTAGCCCTTGAGGAAAGGGAAGGATTCGATTAGGAATCTGGGTGTTCTTAGAAGAGCATGGACACCAAGAAAGAAACAAGGGCAATAAACGAGACCAATTTTGCTCCATCAAGGTTGAGAGAGAAAAGTACATTAGCCAGACTGAAGAACCTTCAGTGCAAGGCCAAAAGTTTAAGTTCTATCAGGAATGATTTTGGGATTTCTTGACACTCCTGTTTAGAAACCTTTAGTGATTAAAGCAATGTTTTGAGAAGATGATTAGAAGTATGTGGAAAGTTTTGGAGGGTGGAAGAAAGACGAGAAGCAGAGGGCCACCAGTTAGAAGAACTGAATAAATCTGGTGATGGTATTTGCAGATGTAAAAGTTAAGGGAGGTGGAAGAATTGATAATGATTACAATTTAATCCCCAGGTAGTGGTAAGAAATTGAATATTTGATGCTTGGAGGACAATATTTCATTTAGTCAATATATATTTAATGAGCACCTAATATGTGTGGTAGGCACTGGGGTTACAGTGGGGAACATGGAGCCCACATTGAATGAAAGAAAGACAAGAAACAAGTTAAAATATATATGTAACACACACATATATATATAAAAAATCAGGTAATGGCATTTGCCCTGGAGAGGAAAGCAAGGCAAGGAATAAGGAGTGAAGAAAAGAGAGAGTGTTATAATAGAATAACATTTGAGTAACATTTGAGTAGAGACCTGAAGGGAGGGAGGGAGCCTCCTTACTGCCTGGGGAAAGAGCATTCCCAGCAGCAAGTGGAGGCTCTGCCTGCCGGAGACCAGCAGGAAGACCTGGCTGGAGTCGAGCTGCAGGGGGAAGTGTGGTTGGCAGTGAGATGTGCAACGCAACCAGGGAGTAGAGCACTTGGGATCCTGAAAGCCACGATAGTTAAATTTGACTCTGGGTGTGATGGAAAGGCATGGGGATCCCTGTGGCAGCAGAGGGGAGTAACAGGAGGCTGTCAGTCCTCCAGGTGAGACAAGGTGGTGGCTCAGATGAGGCCTAGGGCAATAGTGATAGAGGTGGTGAGAAGTGATGGGATTCCAAACATATTTTGGAGGTAAATCAAAGAGAATTTGTTGGTGAGTTGTGAGAGAAATAATAGAATCAAGGACTACCTCCCAGGGACTATACAGTGGATTTGTGTGAATTAGGAAAAGCTAATTCTGTCTCTGGGCAGGAAGCAGATCTCAGCACCTTTGGGTGAAGAAGGCCCCCTTCCCACCAGCAGATGTACCTAGTGCTAGGACACCTAGTATGGGCTAGGTAACCCAACCTGGCCCTGCGGCCGGGCATCCTTGTGGAGGGCTCAATCTGTACAATCAAATGCAGCAACACTGGATGATGCATGAGTTTTCGGCCTGAGCAAGAGGGTAAATTGTAGTGTCATCACCAAATGGGGGTACTGGAAGAGGGGCCAACTGCGGTAGAAGGCAGAGCAAAGCAGGTTCTGTTTTGGACCTAAGTGTGAGGTGCCTGTTAAACGTCCTGGAGACAATGTTGGGTAGGCAGGTGGCTATGGACTACTGGAGTGGGGTGGAGAGCCAGGACCACTGCTGTTTTGAGTTTGAAATGATAGTGTGGCAGTCAAATGGAGCTGTGGGGCTAGAGCTTGGGAACAAAGATTTGAAGTTGTAGGTTGGGAAGTCATTCTGTCCAGAGGAACATATGAAACCTTTGAGGGACATTACATGGAAGAACAAGAAGGATGGAGAAGGCCTTTGAAGTATTATTGGCAGTGGACAGTGGACAGTGAATCTGCAAAGCAGCAAACAGGAGGAAGATCAGGGTGATGAAGCATCATGGAAGACAAGCCATGAGAAGGTGGGGAGTGCTGGGGTGATCACAGGGAAGCAGGGCTCAGGAAGCTGCTGGAGCTTTTGGGAGTACCGTTTAGAGGTAACAGTACGAAGGTAATTTTTAGGGAATTAAAAATATGCTTTCAGAAAATGTACACTGAAAGGGGGGAACAACAGTGTCAAGTGTTGATTTTTCAAAATATGATGGAGCCGTGTCTGTATTAAGGCAGAGATAAAGGAACCCGTGAAGGAGGGAGAAGTTGAAGACGGTAGATTCAAAGGGTCAAGTGAGGGAGCAAGGTTAGGGGATCTGGAGGACTTAGTGGAAGGACTAGGTGAAGAAGTGAGTCTCAGAAATGAGGATGCTTTTTGCTTTGAGAGATGGGAACAGTTTTTTTATCCTTTCAGTAAAGTTGTAGTGGGGATCATCTGTCTGTTTTTACGGGATCACCATTGTTGTTAAAGGCCTGAAGAAAGTATGGAGGAAATCAATAAGAAGAAAAATTGTCAAGCAGTGATGAGAGCCCAGTTGGAAGTATGGAGAGTAATCTGTAATGGCCAGTGTTCTGTGGCCCAAGAGCACAGAGAGTACTGGCAATTCAAAATTAATCCTAATAAAAAAGAAGTTAAAGGCACCTGGAACAGTGGTTCATAACCCAGAAGAGTGCGTGTCAAAGTCACCTGGAGACTATTAATAAAAGCTATGCATGCTTTTATCTCTTTTCCCTAAAATGTATCGAACTGAGGTATAGGAGTAGGACAACTAGAAATGGGAGGAGGGATGCTTATGTATGCTTTTAGAACATTCTGGGTGGAGCTTTTTTAGCTCTTTCTCCCACCCTTATTGAGAAAACTGTTCTAGACTGTTGGGGTACCTGTTGACTGCAGGGTACAGGTTGGAAGGGAAGCTAATGGACTGAAGGAGTAAGAGTAAGGCTTTTTGGAGTGATATCAACACAAACAGTAAGTAGTGGTTTGTAGTCAGCCAGTTAGATTCCTGCACTGTCGAACTTTACAAAGCCTTTCATGTGCTCATGAATCTCTAAGGGGATTTAAAACCTTAAGAACACATCTGACAGGACCCTTATTTTCATGAAGCAGCTATGGACTATTTTCTATGAATCACACTTTGAAAATGCTGAATTGGAGAAGTCTAGCAATGGTCAGTTCCAGTTCGTTTTAAAAGTTCACAGGTTATGGGAAAAGGAAACCACAGTGGAAAGGAAGAATGTCCAGGTTAAGACCTGGAAGCACAGCTTCAGAGCTGTGGCTTTGTTGGTGGAGAGCTGGGTTACTTTCCATCCCTCCAATCAAACTTCTGTTTTCTGCCATTGAATCCAGTATCACTTGGGTCATTAATATGAATTTTGAAGTTGCAAAGTGTAAGACAAAATTGGGAATTTATGAAGTATTTACAAAGATTCTATGATCAATAGATTAGTTTGTCATAAACAGATGCCTAAAGTCTTTACGAGAGCAGGCCAAAATCAATCACTGTCTTTAGGATAACTAGCCTTTTCCTTTTAACTATAAGAACAAGAAGGTAGATAACCATCAAAAGTAGATACACTTTGTTGAAGTCTTTGGAGCACTCAATAGTGATGATTTAACATTTTGGGAGTTTACCCACCTTTTCAGGAGAGGTAGTGTCATAGGCTCTGAAAATGACCCAATTTGTACTGCTGGGCAGTGAACGGCAGACTACCTTTCCAGTGAAGGACAGCCCTATTTGTAAGTGGAAGATGATAATTAACACTGAATATTGTTAAGGTTCACAAAGAAGCCAGTGATTGATGAGGACAGTGATTGCTGGCAGGGATTAGACATTCATATAGCATGATTTAGTTTTTAATAATGATGTGACATGAATTTTTTCAGTATACAATCTGGCCTGTAGTATTGAGACATACGAAATGGGAATGGTTTTATTTTCACTTCCAACTATGTGAGCTCCATAGGTCACAGGCTTCCATTCCTTTGTGCCAGTTTGATATCATTCCCTTCCTTCCCCCATGTATCTTATCTATATTATCGAATTTTCCCTCACAATCCTCTGTTACAGAAAAATACCACACACATGCATTCTTTTGGCTATAGAAGTATGCTCGAGATCACTTTTTGCTTGTGATCCAGCTGAAGAGTTCAAAGCACATGGAAATCACTTATTGGTGACAGTTGGACATTGTGTTTATTTTCCCCTGTGGATGCCTAAACTTTCTTTTCTTCACAGGTAAAGTCAGTCATAAATCTTTTATTTGCTGCATATACTGGAGATGTGTCTGCACTTCGAAGGTATGTTTACAGGGTGGACTAGCATGTGGTTTACAGATGCTTATGAAGTTGCTCCTGAGCGAGTACCCATTTAAGGCTAAGGTCTCACTTCCATTTTCCTTTAATGAAAATGACCCAAACAAAATTTGTATTAAATTTCCACTTCCAGTGCCTTAGGCTTGCTGTCCAATTTTGTCCTTTTCTACTGCTTATAGAAGCCCAGATCTATTTTCCCAGGTGGTGACTGTGAAATGAATCTGGCTAATTGGTATTAGTGGCTTACTGGAATTGGACAATGCCTCTCACTCCCCACCTACCCTCCACTCCCCATCTTTGGGGTGCGTGCGACGGAGGTGGGGAGGCAAATAGGGGTAACTGGCGTCCTGCAGATCACCAGGATTAGAAAGACCGTGTATGGAAAGGCCTGTGTACCTAACATAAGGTCTCTTGTATAGAGTTGCAACTCATTTTTAAAGTCGAAAAATGTCTATGAGTAATTTCCACCCTTGTTGTAAAGTCTGATTAGTTCTGTACTAATAGACTGTGAAATGTTAAGGAATGCCAGTCTCAGTGAAAACATCTAACTTTCACTATAGGTATTAGTTTCTTACCCTTCTGAGATATAAACTTTGGTATGGTTGTGCCATTATTCTTGAGTTTTGAACAATAGTGTAACGAAGCTTAATTCTGTGAGAGATGGCTCACATTTCTTAGCCAAAAAAAAGCAAAGCTGAGGAAGAGTGGTGAAGTGGCATTCACCCAAGACACATTGTGCACTGGTTCCCATTAATGAGCTTGGTGAAGGATGGAGTATCTGATGGGGCCTTAGACTGAACTGATGGGGTAAATGTTACACGTGTGCATTAAATTTCTTTTATATAAAATGAATAGCTATGCTTACGAATTTTCAGATTTGCTTTGTCAGCCATGGACATGGAACAGCGGGACTATGATTCTAGAACAGCTCTCCATGTAGCTGCTGCAGAGGGTAATTCATGAACCACTCATATATTTTTTTCCAGATTTAATTTCTACTCCATACTAAAATCTGCTTTCTTCTGGGGGGGCGTGGTGTAGGTCATGTTGAAGTTGTTAAATTTTTGCTGGAAGCCTGCAAAGTAAATCCTTTCCCCAAGGACAGGTGAGCACTTACCTTACCTTATAACCTAAATCAGTAGTTTATTAACAGGACTATAATAGTCAAGTGATGGTATATTTAAATCCACTAAGACATTCTTGAACCTGCTATAGCATTTTATAAGGGCACCAAACAAAATCTTTCTGCTAGATAGATCATTCTGTCTCCATATACTATATCTTATCTAAGAATGGCATCTTATTTAGAAATTTTTGGGTTAGTTTATCAGTACACTATGTGAAAAAAACAATTCTTTGTGTTTTGTATAAAAAATTGTAAGAAAACTGTTGTTCAAGAACTCTAGAATGTATTGGAGTTGAAATTCATTCGGGCACTATCAGTTTTAGAAGGCTTTGTGGAAGTTGAATTTTAATCAGTGCTTTGGGGAAGAGATGAGATTTGAAGGCCCAGAATGAAGAGAAGGGCATTCTGTCTCGAGTGGAAGAAGTCTGCTTGGAACATATTCTGCTCCTCTCCTACCTCCTGGTTTACATGGCAAACTGCTGTCCATCCTGCAGCACATGCTGTCCACAGAGTGGTCAAGGCAGGGATAAGAATGCAGCTTACATATATGTACAGTTAACTCTAGACTCAGAGCCTTGGACATTATGTGCTGGAGTAGAGTGTTTGAGTCACTGAGCAACGAGAATAAAGGTTTAGAAGAATGGAAGGAAAAAATACTTTATGGAGATGTTTAATATACATGATAAGGAGTTTGGATTTGATAGTTTAGGACTGGGAGCTGTATTAAGATTTGGAACAAGGTGATTACTCCTCTAGCTGTTAGATCTTCCTGTTTATTAAGCTTTATTTTTTAAATTAGGGCTTCAGTTTTGTTGGTTCAGCTTGCAAGAAATGCAGAAAAGTTATGTGTCTGAAAATCAGTAGCAATTTTCTAAGTGTGGTAACACTTTGGCTACCTAATTTTATTCCTATAGTTGTTAAAAAGCATCATGATTAAAATGACCTTTGTTGGGAGAATTAAAAAACCTCATGTTAGGGCGACGCTTCCCCCTTTAACTCCCAGATGTAATGCCCATCCCAGCTTCCAGAGAAAGAAACTGAAGAGTGTTTTCCTCCTGTGTTTATAATCCCAACTAAAACACTAACACATGCTGAAAATATTTAAGTATTGATTTTTTTTTCCTTGCCCTAAATTGGTCTCTAGGAATGTGGAAGTAGAAGTACTTATCTGACAGGCAAAAGTTAGCTACGTAACTAGGTAACTCGGTATTCAACAATTCCAGAATGGAACCTACAGACCCAAGGCAATTCTTTTTCTCTATTTCATACAATCAGTGTCACCTTAAATTACAATATAGGTTTGAGCGAAATCAGTGTATTCTTTAAAGTTGATATTTTTCATTATTTCATGGAAGAGTGGTTATTAAAAAAAAAATAAGGTAACTTGCAGCTGACTTCAGTTTTTCCAAAAAAACAATTACATGCTACAGAGGATGATTAAAAAGTCCCTGGTTCAATAGCATTGACACCTTAAACTAATGAAGGCCTATTTAAAAGTACAAGGCCACTTAATTCAGCTCTTTTTTGAGAAACACAAGATACATGCAAAGTGTTACTTACCTGATTTTAAAAATTAAAAACAGGCTACCAACCTTTATTCAAAGATATTAAAAAATGAGACTATTTAAAAAAACCTTTCGTTTCCATATTGTGACCCTATTTAGGTGGGTAAAAGGTTCAGGACAGAGGTCGAAAGGAAAGAAAGAAATGGGAAGAAGTAAAACCAGAAAAAAGGTGGTGAGAGTGGCATATGAACAGATGGAGTAAGAGAGGCCAGCAGCTGTGGAGAAGTTCCCGCCATAAGTAAAGAGAGAGGGTAGGAAGACAGGCCTCACCGTGAGTGTATGGAGTACTAGGGAACTAATGACCATACCCTGTCATTTCCTGGAGCTGCAAGTTGTATAGTGCTGCCTCCTACAAGAGGCTTAGCTGACCAACCACTGCTGGCAAGTCTTCCTTTCTTATTATCTTCAAATCTTCATCTATATCACTTTAAACAGCACAGCCCCAGAAACACACTTAGTATGGAAAGGGGAGTTATTCTTCTGGTCGTGTAGTGTTCTGAGTCCATGGCTTCCCGTCCTTACCAGAGATGATGAAAATGTCAACTCCTCTGGGGCCGATCTTGCTTCTCCAGTGTGTGTTTGAGCACCAATGAGGTCATGGTTATTTCTAGAGTTCTGTGATTTATTGTGATTTTGAATTGACAGGAACACAAATTTTCTGTCCAAGGCTAGGGTGATGGATTTTACATACCTGAATTTTTTTTTTTGAACATTTTATTTAAAAAGAGATATTTTGGACTTTTCATGAAGCCAAAAATCAGGAACTGTAGAGTCTATTCCTGTCAGCACGAGGACTTTCCTAATAAAGGTCTGTCCATAAGCACTTGGATGCGTAAACAAGATCCTTTCATAGATCTTTTTCTCTTCTCCTCATACCCCAATTTGTCTCTGAGACCACGTTTTGAATTGTAAGTCCCTGTCTGCATTTCTGTAATTGATTCTTACTTGTAAAACTGCAAAAATGGCTAAATGTGAATGGCCATTTAACCTTCACTTAAAATCCAGGAATGCTAGGTGATCATCTTGTCCAGAAGTTACCTAATGACCCTGTCCGTGCTGTACTACTTGTCTAGGTGGAATAACACTCCTATGGACGAAGCACTGCATTTTGGACACCACGACGTAGTTAAAATCCTCCAAGAATACCAAGTCCAGTACACACCTCAAGGAGATTCTGACAATGGAAAGGAAAATCAAACCGTCCATAAGAATCTTGATGGATTGTTATAATGGTCTTAACTCCCAAGATTTAAATCACTTACCTATTTAATTGTGGAAAATGATTATGAAGACCGTGTGTATTTCTATCTGGTAGTGATGTACATTTTACAACATTTGTCATTTCAGTGTTACTGGAGTTTTCTTCATTGTGCGCACAGGACAAATCTGATCTCTTTGGGAAAAAATAGAAATAAAACAATCTCCCTCCATAATGTGAGCAATATTTACCTCGTGCATTGTATAATTTGATGTAAAAGAAATAGTTACCAATGCTAGCTTAACTGTGTGGTCTTCATGATTTATTTGTGTGTTTTGTGAATTTTCAATTTATGGTGATGATCTGCTGATATGCATTTATAAATTAAGCTCTGTTGTACAGTCTGTCCAAATAGGTCAAAGCTGCCTTTAGAAGCAAATATTGTGAGTTTCATGACTTCAAATATAGATTTAGTATGGAGTGTCTGAACAACTATATGCACTTATGGTTGTGTGTTTAAAATGTCTCCCTCACGCCAGCTTCACGATGTGACTCTTAAAAATTTATAATAATTAACACCTGTTAGTAGGATAGACCAATGCTGAGTAGACTTTATCAGGGAATCTGTTTAAGATATGTTTGGTGACCAAAACATATGTGTGAATGTAGTTACAATACTTCTGAAAAAAATTTCCTTTTTCTATGTCCCCTTAGTCCAGCCTCTCTTCTCAGACGTTTAGCTATCTGCCTCTTTCCTTTTGCTGGGAAGGTGAGTGTTGGCATACTATGCAGTTTTCATGTTTTCCACAGTAAGTCAGAAAATGCCTCCTGTTTCTGGCATCAGAGCTGTAACTTTGCCATTTGTCTATAGAAGATGAATCAGAGACAAAATGTAAGCTAAGTATAAATTAGTCAAACTTATCAGTCTAAAAAATTAAAGGATGTGCTACTGTAGCTCTTTGAGAACATTTTTTTAGCTTCTAGGATAAAGAGAAATTCAGAAATGCTCTAAGCTACCAAAGTTATTCTGATAGTATGAGAACTGCTACACATAACATTTGTTTGTAAGCCCGTCATTAAAAGTCCGCATCAAGGTATTTGTCCTCCTTGGGGGGGACCAACGGATCACTCCAGATTTCTTCTGATTCTCTATTGTATAATTCTTGGTGGGCTCTTTTAATAAGAGGCCATTTCATTTTAAATTGCGACCCATTATTTCTTTGTCATAGGGAGGTAATTCAGAATTAATTCGCAAAATAGGTAAAAGGGGCTTCAAAACTTAAAGAACAGGATTTTCTAGGAATTGCACATGTATTTTATCCTATCATACCTCAAAGAGATAAAGGGGTATGGTAGTGAGGATTTCTGATATTAAGCACACACTCACGCACACACAAACGGACTTCTCTGAAGCAGTATGTAGTAAAATGAGCAAAACTCTCAACTACATGAATGCTAATTGTTACTACATATAGAAATTTCCTTTTTTTCCTTTGCTATCAGCACAAACTGCTGCTTTCAAGCTTTATGATGCCTGATGGCACCTTACTCACTCCAGCAGCCTCCAGGTGCTTTGATTTTTGCTCCCAGTCTAACTCAGTGGCTTCGGCGTTGCCCTCCCGTTACCCACAGAGCACCTCTCTGGTGAAGCCAAGGCCAGTGTTCCTCACTCCGCTGCATCGGGCACAAAGCTGCTCCCACGTCTGAGCTTCTGTGCGGAGGACGGTGGGTGGGCAGTCAGCCCTGCTGCTGTGTCCTTCCCCACAGATCTGTCGAGCCGTGCAGACAGGCAGCATTTGCAAGATGCTACACAGGAGCAGCATTTTCCCCAAAGATATTACAGGGTAGACACATTTTAATTGATATCAATTGAGATAACTTTGTTTAAATAGCACCTTGTTTTGTGTGATTAAAATGAAACACTAAGATGGTTGAACTGTGTGGCTTGAAGATTACCAATGATTTTGAGGCTTTTCTCTAATAAAGAGAGGTTCTAACTATTCTTTGGGAACGAAGTTTTCATCTCTTCGCAGATCAAAACCGTTCTGTGAAATCTTTGTTGTGTAGTTAAATGTGCCCTTATTTTCTGCTGATGTTATTTATGACTATGCGCTGGTTCTTGCTGGGCTGTTTGCTGTTGGCTGGTGATCATGAGTACGTTTGGTTTAAATGCTTGTTACTCTGCTGTTAACTGCTGCCATCAGCAACTCCAAAGATCTTTTTGTTTTGGCTTTAGGATCATATGTGCTTTGTCTGTATCATGAGAGCTCTATATGGTCATGTTAATTTAAAGCTTTGTATACACTGTTGTTTTTGCTGGTCTGGTTCTGCTGGTCTCATCTTTGGTAATATGCTGAACCCCACTGCTGCCCCACACTGCCCTTTAGCTACAGAGCTGGATTAGCTACTGACCGTCAGATGCTTTGTCTGGCAGGGACTGAATGACCTGATGGTGGATTTAGATTCTTCCTGGGGATTACACAGCTATGAATGTATTTGCTTCCAAAATTTCCCAAAGTGAATCTAATCTTAAAACTAGGAGTTGTAAGTATTCTGAAATTGGGAAACATTTATTTTAAGTGAAATCAGGTAGTGTTGCTTTTTACAGCATAATAAATACATGTATCAAAAAAAAAATCTGTGAGTTTTGATGAATTTTCTTAAAACAAGGTTTTATCTATGTCACTGGGTTGGGAACTCCGTTGAGTACAGGGACTGTGTCTAGTTGGTTCAAATCCATTTCTAATGCCTACCCTGATCCAGGTACTACACAAGGTGTCAGGTAGGGCTACCACAATGATTGAGATGACAGTCCTTCCTGTAAGAGTTCATCCTTGAAGGTGAGGGGGTGGGCAGGCATGTCTCTAGTGCCCTAGAAGCTAACACTGATCTTTTACAGTTAGGAGTTGCTCAGTATATATTTGTTGAATTGAACCATTAAACATATCCTTGAGTAAGAGAGGTTATTTTCACAAAGCCTTGAAATCTATTTGGAGGGTTGAACCCAATACTGCCACACTAGGATCTGAGTTGAACCAGCTGGCAAACCTCGGCTCCCAGCTAATTCATTATATTAAATATGTGGGAGTAGCATTCACTTCCAACTACAGAAACCCCTAGTCCTCAGAGCACTCTGTCCTTTCAGGTTTAGGGTTAGTGTATGGTTTTCTAACCATAGAGAAGGTACAGGAACACCAGGGCTGTTACATTTTCATCTATCAAAATTATTTGTTACAAAGGAAGTTGCTTTGGTATAGGAATTAGTGTTATGCCATTTGCATTACTGGTATTTTAGAACTGGAAGACACATTAGAAATTCTCTAATCTAACCCACTCTTTTATAGATGAAGCTGAGACCCAAGAGTGCACTATGCATTCCCATGCCCTTTCCCTGCATCCTACAACACTGGCTGTGCCCATATAGACAGAATATGCACATTAGCTTATTCATATTTAATATTAACTCATTCATATTAGCTAAGGCCTCTCTGTTCAGTTTTAAGGAGAGGTGTAAGTGCTACAATGTTAAGTCCTGCAACAGTAGGTAGTCAACTTCAGCCATGCATGTATACATCCACAAGAGAAGCAGGACATCAGTGCAGGGACAACAAATGTATGAAGAATCCCAAACAGTGAAGAGTTATATTTGTTTTTGATGCAAGATCATTTTAGTTTTGCGGGACTTTTTTAGGGGTTGTGGTAATCTTCCTAATTTTACTTGCTAATCCTCATAGTAAAACGAGTAAATTCATAAATCATATACCAGATGGTTCAGGAAAGCGGCCCATGAATGTGTTAGGTGGCACTTATAAAAAGGCCTTTGGGAAAGGGGAATTTTACAGTTATGTATAGAAAGGATGTAATTTACTAGATTAGAGAAGGTATATGTATTTTGGAGTGGTAAGGATTAGAAAATTAAGGCGGTTATTTAAAAAGAGGGGGGTGATATAAAGTAACACAACTGGATGGGAGGCATTAAAAGCAAGATTGGGGATTTTACTTCTATTCTGGAGCATGAACCTGACTCCAGGTCTCTGTGTGACCTACTGTGCCCCTGGCTGCGTCTCCAAATAGTCAATAAAAAGCCTGCTCTGAAGTGAGTCAGGCAGTCTTAACAGCCAAGGAATATCAAGACTGTTTCATCCAAGGACAAGACATGGGGAAAGGCTGCAGACATACCAACGGTAGGTATTAAAGTGTTGCAGCAGCATTATGAAATACAAGATTTCAGAGTTACACGAATATAACTTACATATAATGTATAAGTTATATATAAATATAACAATTCAGAGTCTGGTAATAGGTTTGACAGCTTTTTACCTTTCAGGTAGCTTTATGTTCCTTGTATACCCAATATAACTTTAATAAATAAGTTTAAAACTGCTTAAGTGTGGTTCTTTTTTTAAAAACAATAAATCAAGTAAGGTGTTTAATTTCTCAGTGAGTATAGCAAACACATAACCTGAAGTTAGCTCACCAAACTTGGAAGCTGAATATTATTGACTCAATATCATTTAAAAGCTACATAAACTCAGAAGGCTCTAAAAACAATATTGATTACTTTAGCCTTCTTAAAATTGGCCTAAATGTCATCTCTTTGAAATTAGGTATTTTTATATAGTATTTACATTATTTGTAGCTCTTGGCTATGTTTGTCTCACAAAATCTTTCTTAAGTTTCGGTAAGTAAGGTGACTGCACTAGAGTTCTTAAGTTCCATAAAAGCAGGGATTTTTCTGTTGTTGTTTACCAGTGTTTCCTAAACATCCAGAATGCCTGGCTCATGGCAGGTGCTCAATATATAACTGATGAATTAATAAATGAATGAATCTTAACTAACAGAAGTCACTGAAGTAAATACTCTTTACTTTGGGAATAGCATCCCAGTTCAAAAGGTAGGTACAAGGGTTTTCAAAACATTGCCTAGCTTTTTCCTATCCTTTCCCTGGGATAGTCAGATGTGACAGAGGCCTGCTTTGTTCAAGACTTGCCTTCGTATTCCACTTTAGCTTTCAGGCAATAATGGATTACAC